TTCATCCGTCCCCATCTGGTGAGAACGACAAACGAATCTCTTCATCATGTACTTTCATTCGAAATGAAGGGCCCCCTAACAATGCTTGTCAGTAGTCCGCCTATTCGAACTTGCGTCTTCATATGGAACTGGATCCCCAGCTTATATTTCCTCGTATCTTTACGCATACTGTCCGCTGACACCGGCTCGAAAGGCTTCGAGAAACACTCCAGACTCTGCAGGCGATGTGACTCGAACTTAGCCTGCCCTGGCAACCAAGCTTTTTGCCGAAGAAGACTCAAAACGAAGTCGGATAAGGAAGATGGCTTCCCTCCGTCAACCGTCGGAAAGGTGGTCTACTGCACTCCGACCTTCAAAGATTCGGCAAGTTGCATGACTACACTTTCTCTTAGACTCAAAATATGCTGAGCTGAAACATGCCATCTCGACCGGGCGGAGGCGAATCTGTGCTGAAGATGACTTGGATCTGGTAGGCAGAGGAAGTCAGACCACCCGGCCGGAGCAGCGAGGAGCACCCCCTCCTGGGCAGTCGATTGCCGGCAACCTCGCCCGAGGGGATTCGGGAAGCCAGACTCTTCAATCCAGGCCACATGAAACGAACACATCGTGGCCTCGCGCAAGCACACACACACACACACAGAGGCACAGATACATCCATAAATTCATACAAAGTTGCATAGAACGATAGAGAGTGACTATTAACCTCTGCTCCCCAATTAGGCAGAGGCGTTGGGTGTGCGAGTGTGGCGCTAAACTGCCGAGCAAATGTGTGGTTGGACTGAACAAGTGCACACAAGCTTTCACACTTTGCCGACAGAGCAGCATCAAGCTCTCCAGTTGTTGCGTGCCCCAACGCAGTGTCGACCGGCTCCCGACTGCCTTGACGGCACGACGACGATAACTACCATCACCACCCCCTGCCACCCCACCCCACCCCACCCCTTCCACCGCAACGGACTTGTTGGGAGTCGCCTCGAATCGGCTCAACCTGGAGTACCCCACTCCAGGACCCGGTGTCAAGGCGTCTCAAGAGGCCGAGCTCAGACAATGTGCCCAAGAGGC